GGTGAACCAATTCCTGGTGTTCAGAATCGTACTTGGACATTTTCCTTCCGTAAGTGTAATTGCATTTAACATTATTTTTCTTAACTGGATTAACTGAACTTACTCTTCAATTTAACAGAACATTCTGAGGATACCTTTGCAGGTAATTATAATACACAATGTGTGTTTACTAGTATAATGCATTTTATTGATGAATTGAAATCTCGCTCCTATTATAGCTGCTGCACCAGCACTCCTGAGATTAACAGACGCAGGCACTGCATATTTCAACGGACTTTCTTCCTCGGGAAAAGACGAGTTTTTCAATGAGTTAAAGCGAGAGCTAATTTTAGCTATCCCAATAGACGAATCCCGTATATCTACCTCAGGAAAATATCAATACGATACTTCAACGCCCACAAAACAAATTTTAATTTCTTTTGAGTTCGCAAGTACCAGAAATCTAACACAGCGAAACACAAAATCATTGATTGACGATCTAAATACCTTAGTTACCCAAAGAGACTACTCTCCCATCTCATTCTATAGTTTAACTTCATATTTAGATAAAGACTATGGATGCCAAGCTAAGCGTAAGTCAAGTGTACTAAAGAAAAAAACCAAATATATCAATTTTAATAATTTACGATTAATTTTTTTATTTAGCCAATCTTTGGGATAAATACAAGACCAAGCTCTTAATTTTATTCCTTGCTTTGCTTTTGATATTGGTTCTATTCATGATGGCTAGAATTCGAAATAATGAGGTACAGTTTTTATTGTTTTGATTCAAGTTTTTATGCTGGTCTAACTTAATCTATTCCTATTATAGGGAAACAATTGGGCCATCATACAAATTGCCTTAATTATACTTGATTTTGCATTAGACGTAGCATTTATATTGAATAATGGTAGAGATGTAGAATGGATATACTTACCAAGGTCTGGATTATTGTTGATTATATATATATATATATATATCTATTTAGTTTGACAATATTCTAACATTGAACTTTTTGTTTTGCGCATCTATTCATTAGTTTGCTGTTCTTACTTATTCCCATCGTATGCAACTGCATCATTGCCTTTTCAATTTTCGTTCACGAACATGAGCACAATAAAGCATTCCTCAAGTGGTCAAATTTGAATGTTAAATTCGTTCCTGCTTTTACAGTACTGGCTGCTGCGGATATTGAGGCACTCAACATTCTTGGTTCCAGATTGGCCGGTTTAAATGCGTTTAGTGCTCCATTTTCCGAAAAGGCTATGGCATGGATCTTTTGGGCTAGCACATTTAATATGTTTATCGAAGATTTACCCCAATTAATTATTCAGGTAAGTCGTATAAACATATCTTGATGAATCATCTGCAAATATATCCTTACGTTTTCCCTGAATATTTTTTAGGTCTTATATCAACGTAATACCGTGTCGTACGATATTATACCGTTACTTACTCTTATCACAAGTGCATTGATGCTTTCAATCAATGTGTTAGGACGAGTATATCAAATTATTCATTATCTTCGTCAAGGACAATTGCGTTATGCTATTCCTCCAACACAATATGAAGATAAAGACTCTTACTTCAGTCAAGATCAAAAAGCTGCTGAAGGAATTCAATCAACGAATATTCAACAAGAAGTTGTTAATGCTCATATTGTGACAGTCGCTCAATCAGAAGCATCAAGTCCAACCCCTATGATTACATCAGATCCAGGTGCAGGTGCAGGTGCTCATTACGTTGTTTATACCGAAGAAAATAATAATTATTCAGATGCTACCGGACATCAACCTACCACACAAAATTATACTTGAGATTTATTTTTATCTTCATTAGACTGGATTATGATGTGTTTTTTCTTGACTCAAGAACGTGATTCTTGATATATAAAATAATTAAAATTAATCTAATTTATCTTATCTGTATGCAGTGTAATTGTACGCATGTAGTCTCTGTATTATATTAAAAATCAGAAGAATAATTTTTTTGTTAAATAATAATATATAAAAACAAAAATAATATAGTTTTTACTAAACTAAAAACATTCAAGCCTATATTGGTATTTTATATATTCTTTAGCAGATTGAATTAATTTAATACAAAATCAATATTAATTTTCCTTCATATTTTCTTATTCAAAATTATGTCTAATATAGATTATAAATATTATTTAATCTTGAATTTAGATTATTTAATATTTTGATATTATTATCTTCAAATTTGCAAGATATTTGAAATTTTTATATTAAAAAAATAATCTCAATATCCAATTCATATTATTTTAATATTTATATAAATTCTTTAAGAATTTATTAGTATAAAACATAATTTATTATAATATTAATTATTTAATATTTTAAAAAATAAAATATTTTTATATTATTATGTTTAAATTTTATATATAAACTTCTTTATAATATTTAATAAATATATTATTATTATATTTTTTAATTAAGTTAATTAAAATTTATGTAAAACTATATTAATTAATAAAATTATAAAATTTTAATAATTTTATATAAATTTTTCTTAAAAAAATATAATTATAATTAATAATAAAAAAATATTTAAATTTACTATAACTTAATAAAAATTATTTAAAAAATATAAAACTTTTTATTATATTTATTAAAAAATTTGCTTAAAATTATTTATTAATATTATTTTTTAATTAATTTTTTATATTAAAAATTAATTTTTTAATTAATTTTTTATATTAAAAATTAATTTTTTAATTAATTTTTTATATTAAAAATTAATTTTAAAATAATTTATTATTAAAAATTTTAAAAAGTAAATTTTAAAGTTTTTTAAATTTAAATTCAAATTTATAAGAAATATTATTAAAATTTTTTATTAAATTATATCATTTTTTTATTTTTAAATATTAAAAAATATATATAAAATATAATTATTTTTTTATAAATTTTAAGTTTTTTATTATTAATTATATATATTAGAGAAATAATATTATTAACTGAAAATTAGATGATTTTTCTAATTAAATTTTAGAAAAATATTTTGTAATAATTTTATAATTAAAATAATTTTTTTAAGAAAAATTTAAGAAATATAAAAAAATATATATTAAATTATAAATTATAAATTTAATTTAATATAAAAATTAAAAGTATTTATTAATAAAATTATAAAGTTTATATAAAATAATTTTAATTTTTACTAATAAATTTAATTAATAATATATTATTTTTAGTTATTATAGTAATAATCAAAAATAATGATTCAGGAATCAAATTTATTAATAATATAACAATTTTGATTGAGTTATCTTCCTTTAGATCTCTTTTAGTTTAGATCTTCATTTTGCGCTATCTGTATAACAGATTAGCTTTGTATTATA